GGCCAAGCCTGGTGAGAACATGCTTAGGGATGTATCTGCTGTGAATCACCTTCCTTGCCCCGAAAGAACGCCATCTCACAGGGTAAGGGCAAGTGTAAATACTACAGAAACCTAGCTCCCAAACTCACTAAAGTCTAAGTTTCTCCAACAAGATTTTAGCTTATTTGAGAGTGGGGACAAGTTAATTCCCCCCACCCCCTCCGCCAGCACTAGCACAGTGCTAGTCATAAGATACATGCTGAGGAAATGCGTGTTGACTTGAACTGTGGCTGATGCTGCTTATGGCGGTAGAAGCCCCACGCACTCTGCTTTCTAAGGGCAGAGGACTGCACCAGCTTCTGACCCTGGCTGGCTTGGGGCCCTCTCTCAAGTCACTGCCATCTTTCCCAGTGTCCTCCTCTGCAAGTGGGAAGGATGTCTCTGGCTATTGCCCAACCCAAAGTTGTAGATTTGGCTCCAATCCACAAAGCTGAGCCCCTGGGTAAAGCTACGACCTTCCCACCATTGTTCTCCCAGCCATTCTCTAGGATGAACTCATCTCCCTTCAGCCACTTCCTAATATCACCTTGTGAACCAGGTCAAAGGGCCTCACCAACCCACCACCAGTTACCAAATAGGATTTTGACCTAGACAGGATTTGAATTTTTGTTTTAGACAAATGCTTCAGTAGGAGTTGTCTTCCTCCCTGGCTGCCCGTTGCAACAGTGCCCGTGATCTCCATGAGGGAAAATCTCCTGAGGCCATCTTCTTCGGAGCCCTGTCAATACCCTTTCCCAAAAGGAATTAGCAAAATGGGGGCAAATTGACCCTTGGCCACCAGGGCCTTCAAGTGTGGGTTCCCCATCACCCTTTGCCCTACCTGTCCTTGGGGAAACGGGACCAGCATCGCTTCCCTTGGGTGGTGGGAATGTTTCCACAGACGACAAAGATATTTTGCTCTGCCTTCCCTCTTGCCTCTGAAAAGTGCTGGCAACCCCGAGCCCAGTAGCCGATGAGTGTGGCTCTAACAAAGGTCAACGACTAGGGGAGTTGCTTCATGGTCTGGGGTCTCAAGGCTTCATGACAGTGGGCTGTACCCACCATACTGCTGACAACTCAAAACCTCTGGACGCCCATGGAGGATGCCAGCAGGAGACCAGGAGCATTCAGATCCTCTGACTGCCTGTCTATGGGCCTTTGGAGCCGTCAGCACAGAAAAAGGAACTCAGAACATATAAACTGAAAAACAGCCTCAAGGAATTTACACTCTAACAGGGAAACAAAATGAATCCGTGTCCTCATTGGAAATATGGCAGGACCACAGTGATAACGACAAAAGGTGCATGAAGAGAAGGAGGTGAGAGAGGAGTTAGCAGGCTAGCCTGGAGGAGAGGTGAGGTTAATTAAGGAACAGGTAGAGGCAGCGTCAAACTCTTATGCCGAGAAAGGTAAGGGAGAGGGGAGCCAAGGTAGGTCGGAAAAGGACATTGTCTCCCGGGCACGGAGCCGGCCTCGCAGAGTGGGACTGGAAGAGTCAAAAGAGGAGGGAGAAGCCTCTGTGCCCGCAACAGAGGCGACACGCGCCAAGGGTAACCCAAGGGCAACCGAGAAGCGAGTGGGGAGGAGTTCTGCAGGGGGATAGTTACCCAGACAAGAGCAACAGCCGCTCCTCAGGGCTTTAGGCAAAAAGGCAATTCAGTGCACAGAAATCCTGAGAAACAAGTTTTTGTGTGTGTGTGCAAAGCACAGTTCAGCTCTCTAACCCCAATACTTCCTGCCCTTCACAGGATCCTTCAGCTAGGATGGGAGTGAGATTTAGGTGGCATCTACAGAAAATTGCCCGAGGCTCAGTCAAGCACCTAGCAGCTGACCCAGGCAGGAGATACTGGGGAGAACCCCTTGGGACAGTCTTTAATCTGGTTCTGCGAAGTCCCTGCTCATTTTCTGCTGAGTGGACAACACATGACCAGGCTGACAAAGCACACCCTATCGAGGAAAGAGCTTCCTACCCTCCAGTCCAGCTCTAGCCCGGACCCGCCCAGGGTGTATAGAAGGCCAGGTGGAACAAAGGTGAAAGGTCGTGAGAAGGGCAGGAGAACTCTAAACACCTATGGAGGGGAAAAGGGGTCACAGAGGTCCCCAGACCCCTTCTCTAAGACAGTTTTAGAACTGACCAGTCTCTGAGAAAAACTTGCAACCAGCCTAAGGCTGGTTTCCGACAGATCTGTTCAGACTAGTTTGAGGGCTAGAGGCTCACAGCATGAGAGTGATTTGAGAGTCACCATTTGGTGACTGTTTGAGTCAAGCTAGATCTGAGTGTCTCAGCAAACCTTTGCAGACTATGTAGAAGCAAATCAGAGGGCACAGTGACCCAGAACACGAGCTCACTTGTAGGCAAGCACACCTGGAAAGTCCAGGGCCTGCTCCGGGAACCCTTCTCTTTCTAACATAAAGGATGCAAGTGGTGGCACAGAGGCAGCTGCATCTAGCTGCCTCACCTTGTGTCCCCAGGGAAGCCCTCCCAGCCCCAAACCCCTGCATCAGGACAAGGCTGAAGTGCAGGGAGCAGACTCCCGCTGAGAGCTTTTCCACTGCTGGTGACCCCTCTCCCCCCAACCCCCAAAAAGGCACAGACTTGTTTCCATGGGAGGAGAGAAGGCAAATTAATGAGGAAGGCCCTCTGCAGGGCATCTGGCCCCTGCGCTTGGTTCTCAGCGTGGCTCCTGACCCGCTAGTGACCCGGGGAAACACACTTAACCTCTCTCTGATTAAAGGGCTTCCTGTAAAACTGGAAGAAACAGCTCATTTCACAGCTTGAGGAGGCAGCATCAGCTAAAAGTGCTTGTAAAAGGGCTCCAATCCTCACAGAAGAGAGACGTTGCAGGAGGCAGGAGGGCCAGACCTCTGTGTGGTCAGCTTTGTCACTGGCCAGTTTGCCTCGGCCCTCTCCCTTCCTCTGGAAAACTTCAAGCAGCAGCAGGTGACCAGATCCTAAAACAAGACCCTGAATGCTCAGGGGTCACCATCCTGAATGCCAGAGAAGGGAGGGAATGCTTCTGTTCAGCAAGGCCCGCAAAGGCAGATGACTCTGGGAGAAAGAAAGTCCGGAGGCCTCCAAGAAAGAAGCTAAGAAAGTGAGGAAATGGCACTCCACAGAGTGAAACCCTAGCTGTCAGGGTCACTGGGTAACAGAACGACCTCCTATTCACCATGATTCACAGAACACTTGTAGAGGTGGTTTCTGGATGCCCGTCCCAAGTCTCGGGAACTGGAGGGAAAAGGAAAAGGTGGAGGTGCAGGGAGAGCAGGCCTTGGCTCTAATCATTGCCCACTTGCGTTTGAAAGACCCAGCTCTGACCCTTCTTTGAGTCTCAGGGAAAAGCTATCCAGAGCTGAGGCCGGAGGACAAGCCCAGGGCTTGTAAATTGAGGTGACCTTGGGCTTAGGGCTTCTAAAACAGGAGGAAAGATTAGCCGAGGTCTAAAACCCTCCACTGAAATAACTTCAAGCCCTAGAAACAATACCAAAGATGACAGGCCAAAAACTCAGGGCTGCTCAGGGCTTGAAGTCAGAAACTGCCTGGAACCCAGGCTCAGGAAAACCGTGCGTGTGTGCGTGTGTGTGCATATATCTGTGAAACGACAGTCACCATCAGACACCTTAGAAAAAGACAATATGAAAGCCCAGGGCAAGAGATGGGAAACCAGCATAGGAAAACAGTATCTGAATGAAAGGCTTTTCCGGGGCGGATGAACAGGGCAGAACGGTTCCTCAGGAGTGAGACTAAATTGGCACAGACCCACCTGCTTATTTTGGCCATTGTGTACACTCTTTGGCTCATTGCGACGCCACCTGGCAGGCAGGTCCTAAAACTGTACGTGGGGCGGGCTAGAGGTGAAGGAGACAGCTTTCTGCATGTACCATACAGGAAACCTCCACAGACAGCTGGGTGTGGTCTGCACAAACTGGTTCTCAGACACCAAATCCTTGCCTCCTTTGTCTATTCACAAGGTTAAGGAAAAAACTGCTTTCTCTGTGCTGATCTCAAAACCAAAGGGAATGAAGGCACTGCCTTAGCAAAGTCAAAACTGCAGTTACTTTCTGATTGTGCGTGTTAACAAAGGGAAGCAGGCAGCCACATTATTAAAACCATGCAGGTCATTCCTGTTTAACTTTGAAAAGAATCGTACGATTTGTCTTACAGAACTATAACAGGTTTTACTTCCTCATTGAGGCCATTATAAGAGTCAGTTTACATTACCCGAGACCACAATTGGGCAGAATTACTGTGCGCTTAATAATTGACAGTCCACAAGATGGGCAGTCTGCCCTGTGGGACATCTCCAGTGAACATGCCAGGAAAACGATGAAGAAGACAAGCCCTGTGGGACCAGGCCTCTGGGCCAGTCTGCACAACAATCAGACCAGACACAGAGTCCGAGTTCTCACTTTAGGAAATCTGCAGCCTACCTCTTTCCTGGTCTTATTACACGTGGGACATGATTTTAAATTTAAAATCACAGAGCACATCTAGCCAAGCAGTTCTCAAATTTTCTTTTGTTAAAAGTTACAGGGCCCATCATCCAAATGGCTAATAAAGAAGAGCAAACAAGAAACCAATAAAAATGGTTACCTATAGGGGATGGGAGTTTGGAGGGGGTACTGGGGGGGGGCAAGACTTCTTTTTATATAGTTTGACTTTTGAAACATATAAATTCATTATCTCTTCAAAAAAGTGAGACAATTTCTAAAGTTGGAAGCCCACAGTGTAAAGCGGCTGACAGTGGGGCTGCTCTGGCAGAAGGTGGTGGGAGGGGTGGTGGGCAGAACCCAGCTACCCTGCTCCTTCCTCACCCCAAACCTTCTCGGTGCTGCTTCCATTTGCTCTCTGCATTTGAACACGGCCCAATCTTTTATTTTCTATCTAGGGAAATTAAAGCACCAGGAGCCGGGCTCTCTCTCCATAGGACATATTCAGGAAGAGCTAAATATACTCCCCAGAAGAATTAATACACCCAATACTTTTGAAAGACTTCGTTTTAATTAAAAAATAAAAGTTATCTTAACATATCTGCATTGCAGCTTCAGGGATGGCAACTTAATGAAGCAAGAAAAACAAGGCTTATGAGTTCTCGGGTCACCTGACCATCTTATAATGGGGACAAAGGCACACATCTTCAAACAAACCAACTTTATTCAGAAACAATTCTAACAACTCAGAATTCCCTTCCCCCAACTCTTTTGCCCACCCTCACCAACCACCCCCCCAAAAAAAAACAACAACCAAAAACATTAAATTTTCTTTTAAAACTATAGAAATAAGTGCTGAGTCAGCAAGGAACGTGGGCATGCTGCCCAGGTTCCTCCACATCTCTCTGCTTTGACGACTGGCAGCCCAGAGGCTGGCAGGGAGAGAGCCAGAGCCATCCTCCACTGAGCCAGGGTGGGGCCTGCGACACCGATGGGCTTCTTGCACGCAGCCCCACAGCCGTCACCCCAGCGGGGGCAGGCAATTCCAAGGCACCGTCTCCCTTCATCGAGGGCATCCTGTGGCTAAAGCAGCCTTTCAGGAAGAGAAAGGCCTAAGGCAGGCAAGTCTTCCTCAAATGCTCCTGATGAAAACGCCAGTGAGACCTGTGGGAGGGAGGGAGACGGGTGGATCTCTTCTCTCCCAGTTTACCAGGCATTGGGAAGTTTTCCTCTCCCTATTCTCCCTGCCTTCTCTCTTTCCCTTCTTCCCAGTCTCCCTCTTCCCCCAAAAGAGTTGTATTTAGCTTAACGGTGGCGGTTCCATAGAGGCTACCGGCAACTCCTGGGGCTGGCCTGGGGGCTCTGCCGCCTCTAAGGGGATGTGGCATGCTTTTGGTTCCTGTATGTCACAGAGCTCCTCCTGTCCCTGGGAGGGCTCGAGGCACTCCTGCCTCTGGGCCTGGCTGTTCATCTTCTCTTCTGCTTCAATCTCTTCTGATGTCGGGATGGAGTTCTTCTTGGGACGACCTTTGGGTTTTGTGGGCGCTTCCTGTCCACCTTTAAGAACCTACATGGGAGAAAAAAGGTCATTAAATCTAAGACATAACTCCTTCCCCACTCACACAGCGTCTAAGCCATTCCTTCCCAGCAGTGAAGTCACCGAGTTCGGCAAAAAGTATTCTTGACCCGTTACCTCCAGTCTACAGAGAGGTCGTCATTCTTTAAAGGCTCAGTGCACTTTTAGCCAATACCACACATACTGTCATTAAATAAAATGATCATAAACATAAAAAAATCCAACTTCAACAATAAGGAAAGAAGTGAAAATTAAAATATGAATGCGATATCAAGTTGACGAGTTAAAAGAAAAAGACAACGTTTGTAGCAAGCAGGAAAATAAGCACTCACACTCTAGTGAGAAAGTGTAATTGGCACAACTTTTTCAAAAGACAATCTGAGAATTCAGATCAAAAGTCTTAAAATGTGCATACTCTTTGACACAGAAATTCTACGTCTAATAATTTAGCCTAAGGAAGTCACCAAAGACTGAGACAACAATTGATCTGCAAATGTGTTCATCACAAAATTGGTTATAACTGCAAACACTGGGGAAAAAATACCCTGAAGTTTCTGCCATTGATTGGGTAGACAATTATAGTACATACCAAAGAGAGAATACTTGATAACCATTACAATTATTATAGAAGAGACTGTTTAATGACATGGGAAATTTTATTAATATAGTTTTGTAAAAAACAGGTTATAAACCAGCATAATTCAACCTGGAGGCTAGATGACGATACACCACCCTGTCTGCAGTGTCAGGAACATGGATAATTTTTATGTATTTTGCTTTTTTTTTTTTCTATATTTTCTCATTTTTCAATAATGATCATGAATAAGTATTTCGGTAATCAGAAAAAAGATGGTCTAAAACATACAGTCTTGTATTGTTCAAAGAAGTAGTACAGCAGAGCAGAAAGTGTTCCAGCTTTGAAACTAGAATAACTAGATGAAATTAGAGTCCTATAAAGACTCTGAGCCTCAGTTTCCTAATCTGTAAAATGGAGATAACAACACCTTAGCTCGCAGGGTGATGATGAGGGTGACCAATAGATAATGTATATGAAAGGGCCAGGACTGTTGGCGAATGGCAGATTTCCTCTGCCCAGAATATGTCTCCCACTCTCCTCACCTGGTTCACTCAGCTTAGACAGTGCTTCTCCTGGGAGCCTTCCCTGATCTCCTAAGTCTAAGTTAATTGCTCTCCGCACATGCCCTCTGAGCACTCTCTACTGTCTCCATCAGAGCACTTTTCATAAACCATTGTCACTGCATGTTTACTTGCTTGTCCCTGCCACTCATTCCCTGCACATAGCAGCCAATCAACAACCGTGACTGAATGAGGGTACCCTTTCTCAATACGCCTTTCCATAGAACTGAAGAAAGACATAAAGCAGGCAAAATAATAGTATCCCAAACGGCCTTTGCTGATTTCAAAGGCGCTGCACATTTATTAGCCCAATTTGTGACTTGCACAGGAATTCCATGAGGTAGGCAGAGATAATTTTAAAAATATCTATACGTTACTTTGGCATATAACAGACCTTCCTCCACTGGCTCTGAACCCTGGTTTGGCATACTTTTGACTTTCTGGGCAGTAGTGAGAAGGGCTTCAGGAGGACCCAGAGGAGCACAGACAATTAGCAGCGGGATATACTTTTGCTACTTTTACATACTTAGCTTCATCTTATCTTCCTCATTTGAGCAGAAGCTCCTTGAAGGTAAATCCTGCATCTGTCCCCTGCTTTGTGCTCCAAGCATCTAACTTCCAACTAACTTTGTATGCAGGAGCTAAATATTTTTTGACTCCATCTGTTTCCTTTAAGAGCAACCGAGAACCTCCAGGAGCTGAATTGTAATGAATGTAGTAACTCGATAAACCATAAGTTCTTTTTTAAAACAGCTTTATTAAGATATAATTCACATACCACATATTTCATCAATTTACAGTGCACAATTTAGTGATTTTTAGTATAGTCACAGAAGTGTGTGACTATCACCAGAATCCAATTTTAGAATATTTTCATCATCCCAGAAAGAAACCCCATACCCGCTAGCAGCCACCCCCTATTTCTCCCATGCCCCTCAACCCTAGTCAACCACTAATCTGCTTTTTGTCTCTATAGATTTGCCTATTCTGGACGTTTCATATGAATGGAATTATACAATATGTTGTCCTGTGTGACTGGGTTTTTCACTTAGCGTTATGTTTTCACGATTCATCCATGCTGTAGCAGGTATTAGTACTTCATTCCTTTTTACCCCCAAATAATATCCATTGCAGGGATATACCACATTCTGTTTACCCATTCATCAGCTGATGGACACTTGGGTTGCTTCTATTTTTTGGCTATTGTGAAAAATGCTGCTATGAACACAGGTGTACAAATATCTGTTCAAGTCCCTGCTTCACTTCTTTAGATAGATGCCCAGAAGCGGAATTGCTGGGTCATACGGTAACTCTATGTTTACCATTTTGAGGAACTGCCAGACTGTTTTCCAAAGCAGCTGCACCATGTTACATTCAATCAGGAGTATATGAGGGTTCCAGTTCTTCACATCCTCACCAACACTTGTCATTATGTCTTTTTGATTATAGCTATCCTAGTGGGTGTGAAATGGTATCTCGTGTTTTTGATTCGCACTTCCCTGATGACTAATGAAGTTGAACATCTTTTCCTGTGCTTAGGGACCAGTTGTATATCTTCTTTGGAGATAAGTCTATTCAAATCCTTTGCCCATTTTTAAATGCAGTTCTTTTTATTATTGAGTTGTAAGACTTCTTTACATATCCTGGATAAAAGTCCCTTATCAGAGATAAGATTTGCAAATATGTTCTCCATTCTCTGTGTTGTCTTTTCACTTTCTTGATGATGTCCTTTACAACACAAAAGTTTTTAATTTTGATGAAGTCCAATTTATTTTTTCTTTTGTTGCTTGTGCTTTTGGTGTCATATCTAAGGTTTTGCCTAATCCAAGGTTATGAATATTTACTCTTACATTTTCTTCTAAGAGTTTTATAGTTTTAGCTTTTACATTAAGGTCTCTGATTCATTTTGAGTTAATTTTTGTGTATGGTGTGAGGAAAACCATAAGTTCTCAATAAACACTTCCTTTTAGCTGGGAATCTGCTCAACCACTGTACTTTCAACCCAAACAGCTGACACACAGATAAGAAGGGGACCTCAAACAAGGTATGGATGCTGAGAGAATCCACCTCTGGGGAGAAGACATCTCTATAATCCTTTTCACATAAGTCAGTATCTGATTTTGATTTAAGTCTGAGTGCAGGCTGTTGAAAGCACCAGGATGTGCCAAGATGGAATTTACATGTTGAAAGCAGCTCCATTCAGTATGAAAGAGGTTATACAAATTAAGTTGCCCCATGTGGTAATCAAGTTATAAAAGGGCAGGTAGGCAGAAGCCACCTAATTGGCAAAAGAAAGTCCAGCCCAGCAATTAGAGAACACCACCCACACAGCTTGGATGGACCCCACCTGGCTGGTTTTCTACAGCATGAAAAAAAATCAAAACAATCAGACCCTTTTCTAAATGGAATAAAACCTTCCAGCACAGGCAATAATTAGGAGATAACTACCCTCTTGGCTGCTTTCCACACTCGACCTCTGGCCCCCTGCCTTCCAGCACACCTGAGACATGCAATTATCTCTCAACCACCACACACCAGGAGCTGCACATTCGCCTGCACCCTGTGGCCCTTCTCCCAGGACCCCTCCTCCTAAATTATTCCTAGAGCCAATTTAGTCCCCTTGGTCCAGGGAGGCCAGACAACTCATTGCATGCTAGGTCACATGCCTCTTGGAAAAACAGCTAGCACACCATCTACTTTTATTGGCCATGCCTGCTGACAGCCCTCGTCTGAACTCCAAATCTAGACACTGCAATGTTCTCCCGCTGAGGATGTCAGGACAAGGCCTCTGCTTCCTTCCCGAGGTCCTTAGGTGAAGGTCAGGCAGGTTGACTGGACAGCCCGGAACATCAGTGAAGAAGAAACTTCTACCTCTCCCATTTTTCAGAGAGGAAGCTGAGCAGGCAGAAGTGGTTTGTCCTGGTCAAAGAGCAAGCCAAGGCCAGAGCTGAGATTTGAACACAAAACCCCTGACCATTCAAATCTAACACCCTTCCCAGTATTCCATTGTGCATAATGTGCGAGGGATATGTAAAATGTGCCGCTTTATTTCTGATTCCAATATTTATCTGCAATTACTCAATCTCCCAGCAGACACTAGGCCATAGACTCATTAACTGAAGTGTTTTTTACTCCTTTTTTTCTATCTTTATCTGCAGCTCTATGGAACAGTGAGAGCTATATAACTGATGACTGTTTCCACAAAGCTGAGAAGCAAGTCTGGATTCTCCAGCATGAATCTCTTCCCAGTATGCTGTTTAGCAGATGGTATGTTCTTCTATACCACAAGCCCAAATGCTAAGGCACTGACGAGGGAGGGCAAGCAAGTAGGGAACAAGGAAGGACAAACAGTCAGGACTGCTCTGAACCAGAGTCCCAGAAACTGGAAGACTTCATTTTCAGCTTCTCTCTCCTGGCCTCCAAAAGTTTGGATTCTCTCGAGACATGAATTTTGGGGATAGGTAAATAATTAAAATAAGAAGAAGAAGAAGAAGAATAGCAGCTAACATTTCTTGGCCCTACACTATGTGGCAGGCAATGTTCTAAGTTTTACAGGGGTTAGCTCAGTTAACACCACAACCCTATAAGGTATGTATTAGGCACGTACTGAGGTTAACTAAGCTGCCCAAGGCTACACAGACAGCAACTGGTAGCAATTTCATGGAATTGTTGACTATCTGGAGACTTTCGGTGTGAAAGACAATGGCGCGTGGTGTGTGGCCCACCCAATTCTGTGACCGGGAGAGAGAAGGTGGTATCCATCTGGACCCTCTCACAGAACAGAACTGTCTTTAGAGCTGAAAAAGACCAAGGAATAATAAGGCAATTTCGGCCTGCTGTAAAACACTGTGGGTCCTATTGGAACTAAAGCCAAACAGAAATGGAATGGAGAGTGAGTGCCCCCTCTAACATGCAAGATTAAACTTACCCAACCCGCTATAGGTTACAAATGCTGACGGGTAAAAACTAGTCAGAGATGCTATCTTGGTTTTGGCAGCACTATCCTTGGCAGCCGTGTGAATAACTCTGAGAATCAAGTGCTAATCTTTTTCCAGTTCCAATTAGGTTACTAGCCTTCAGACATCTTTATTACCCAATTATCTTTTTCTCTTTGTCCTCAGTACCTGAAGAGACAGCCTTGCAAGAGTTGTACCAGCAAAATATCGTGAAGCAATCAGGAGCCCAACAATGCCTTGCTGTGCTGGGGGAGTCAGAATTTAGATCCACAACTGAACAACATCCTCACAGTTTAGCTCCAGCCATTCCAAAGAACTTCAAGTGCCCCAGCACTTCTCCCCCTTCCTTCTACTTCCCACCTTCACTTGGCACATTTCTATTCATCCACTAAAACCAGTTTAGATGGCACCTCTTCTGTGAAGGCCTCCCTTCTCTATACTGATTCTGAGTCCTATTGTTGCCCTGATCACTTTGTATAATGACTAGTTTACAGGTCTGTCTCTCCCACTTGATGGAGTGCCTTTTTAAATTTTTATTTGTTAATGGATGGGTTCACGTCTTATCTTTATATCTCCATTGCCTGGTGAAGATAAGTGCTCAATCGATGCTGGCTAACGTGAACTGCAAGCCTGGTGGCTCTTGTTTTCTGAAGGGACCTTAATTTGGTCGGCCTGTGGAATGCTCTCTGAGGTTAAATCTGCAACGTTACTTCCATTTTGTCTTATACAATATTGATAACCACAAGTAACCAGCCCACAATTGTGCCAGCAGCACAGTGGCTGGTGAAAAACAAGTGACGTCAGAGGCAAAGGCACACGCGTTGTCCCACAGGCACTGGGCGGTGCTGGCAGAGATGGCAGGCTGTCAACTCCTTAATCATCTGACTCACGAAAAGATTGCTGATAACCAATTTAAACAATGCCTCTGCCACTCAGGAGACATTGATTTCGATGACGATGATTGACAAGGAAGGAGGTGGGTGGTGGAACTTGCACAGAAAGCAATCAAGGGACCTGCCCAAAATCAGCCAGGGAGGGGCAAGCATGGCAACACGGCCCAGTGTTTCTTACACCCAAATCTGGTTCTTTTAGAGATCAATCCCCCAAAAGATCTCCACCGTAAGTTTCATGTGTGTCTTAGCATTCTAGAGGTTTTGGAGTGACTATATATTTAATTGAATCTCATTTATCCTTCAATTTCAACTTCTCCCTGCAACCTTCTCCAACACCTCTCCTCTGAACTCTTATGAGGTTCTAAATCTATAAACAAACGACTAGCACTTAGTTATAATGTGCTCCCTATCTGCTTCCTGGACCTTGATTCTCCAATTAGATCATAAATTCCATGAAGGCAGGGTTACATTTTATTTCATTACTTCCTATAGTGCCTAGGACAAGGCATGGCTCACAAGAGACACTAAATACATATCGGCTAATTCACGCAATGTATGTGTGTTTGTACATGCAACTGGCATCTCTGCCTCACCTGGAGAGCCCTTCATAAGCCAAGCCACCCCCATGTGAAAATCCTTCCATCTCAGGATCAGGTCGCCCCAGAGGAAATTTTGAGATTTGCCCAGGAATTCCTTTCTGGGAATATAATAAGTGCTGACTTGTTGGCTTTTTAAAAAATTTTCCCATTAACATTCATTTGAAATTCATTCATTTATTTTTCTCATTGTTAGCAGGCAATAACAAGAACTAAAGTTTTAAGAAAAAAATTATCGGACAAAAATACAAAATTGAGAAAATGTCTCAATATCTATTAAAAAATATCTATCAACTTTTTTTCCTGAAAACTTATTTGGTAGTTATGAAAAACTTCATATTCCAGCCTTTGAAACACCAGCAAATACGGCTTGTGACCAGATTGGTTAGCAAATTAAAATGTCATCCAGGCAGGCCTGGACCATCTGGTCCATACGAGAGGAGAAAGCGTCAGTAAGATTCAGCGAGGATGTGAGACAGGCCCAGGTCAGAGGCCATGGTGTAGCTGGCCTCTAAAGAATACAGCAGAGCTTCTTCCCACCCTCATCCCACCCCTGCTCTTTCTCTTTCGTGTCCCTTGTGGTTTGCAAAACTGGAAATGAAACGCTCAACTACTTTGGAAAACTTAGATTTAACAGTACTTTTTATAAAAGAGGGGGGTAAACTATTATGAAATTAAGTTCCTCAAAATGTAGAGATGTTTATTCTGTTTTTTTTTTTCCAGAGATGTTTATTCTAACAAGTTCCTTTAAAAACCAAGGAGGGGATGATTCATTAGCCAGGCACTAGAGCAGTATGAGGGAGACTGCAGTCATTAGACTATGTGCATCAGAGGGACCTGGGTGATTGCTGACACACACATTCCCAGCCCTACCCTGTGACAGAGAATCAGAATCCTGAGAGGGGCCTAGAGTTCTGCATCTTACCTGCTACCCAGGTTACTCTGATACCCACGACAGTTTGAGAATCACTGCATTAGAGGACACACAGCTACAAGAACAGATGTGCCCTACATGCCATTGTAAACAAAGAGGACTGACTTCTATTATTAGCTGTTGGTGGGAGGGGGAAGGAAGTTCTTTGAAAAGGCTAGCAGGTGGGATTAAGGCTAGCAACTGAGAAGCTTGTGGGCTTTCTTTTTCTTCTATTTCTAAGGAAACTGTGAAAAGCAATATTCTTCTGGTCAAGAGGAATGGCTTATCCTTCTGCTCAAACAGCCTCCTTCCCAGCCAGCATCTTAACAGGCCTTCCAGTCTCTGGAGCCCAAACCACCAAATGGTCCTTCCTGCCTTCTTACCAGCCCTATAGTAAGAATTTCTTTTTTTTTTTTTTTGGTGTGAGGAAGATTAGCCCTGAGCTAACATCCGTTGCCAATCCTCATCTTTCTGCTGAGGAAGATTGGCCCTGGGCTAACATCCATGCCCATCTTCCTCTACTTTATATGGGACACTCCCAAAGCATGGCTTGACAAGCGGTGCATTGGTCTGCGCCCGGGATCCGAACGCGCAAACTCCGGGCCGCAGAAGCGGAGTGCGAACTTAACTGCTATGCCACTGGGCCAGGCCCCCGTAGTAAGAATTTTTGCCGTTATGATGAGCACGTGGATAGACTCACTCTCTTCTTTCTTACCATTTTCTTCCATTTCATCCTGCGGTTCTGATACCAAGTCTTCACTTGTAGTTGAGTGAGTCCCAGAGACTGGGCCAAGTCCAACCTAGAAGGCATGAGATACAAAGGAAGGATGAGGAGGAAGGAAAAGGGCAGCAGAGATGGGGTCCTGTTGACTAGCTTCAGGCACTGCTACTAAACCTTGGACCTCCCCCGTTAAACCAATTCTTCCCCAAAAAGCTTTACTTTCCTTCCAAGAATCCTATGGATGAAACTCTGAGAAGCTAAGAAACAGATGAGCATGCCCAAGGACTATCTACATTAGACCTGAAATGGATTTCTGAGCCTTCACTGCAAAATCCTTTTCCTGACCTCACAGAATCTTTACTCTGATCCTTACAAAATGAAGACTCTGACCCCAAATCCAAGCTGGGAAGGACAGGTAAAGCCATACATTCCTTACTGGACTCCCACTCATCACTCCAGATCCAACTCAAGTCCCACTTCCTGTGGGTGAGTCTCCTGGGCTCCCCCAGCTCACGCAAGTTGTCTCCTTACACCCTCCTATGGGGCAGCCATCACCCAGGTGGCTCTAAGTTCTCAACTGGTCTCTAATTGCTTCACATGAGTTCTTTCTGCCTCCCTAACTCCACTGCAAGAGCAAAGTATATCTTCTGCCTCTTTTATAACCATGAAAGCGGCTACCACACTCTAAATCCAGAACGAGGGGTCAAAAATACTTTTTGATGGATTGACTCATTCATTGTAGCTGCCCTAAATTGTTACAATGATAGATTCCAAAAGAAACATTAAATCCCTGGCCCCTCCCGCTTCCCATTCTACTGCTAACCGTAGTTCTGCATTTCCCTGTAGCCTTCTGAAAAGTCCTGAAGGTCAAAGCCATTCCTGGGAAGTGCGCAGTTGGAACTAATTCTAGCAACACAGCAACCATTTCCTGAGTACCACAGCATCCCAGGCTATGTGCTAAGTCCATGACAGGTGCTATCTTACTTATGCCTTCCACAACACTGTGAAGTAGGTATAATTATTCCCATTTTACAGAGGAGAGACCTGAGGCTCAGAGAGATTAGAATCTCTCAATAACCAAGGCGAAATCCTGTCCACTACCTGTTTTTGTAAATAAAGTTTTATTGGAAGACAGACATGCTCATTTGTTTACATATTGTCTATGGTTGCTTTCATGCTACACCCTCAGAGTTGCGTAATTGTGACAGAGACCATATGGCCCACAAAACCTAAAAGATTTACTCTCTGGCCCTGTATAGAAAAACTCTGCTGACCCCTGGTAGATGATCCTAGAGTAAGAGGTAGCGCCAAGATTCAAATCTACTTACATCTGACTTGTACGCCTCCTCCTATATAGAGGCTCACATCCCCCTACCACATTTTTGTACAAGTTAGATCTGTCAAAGGAAAGCTCTTCCTCAGGCTTTCGTGGAGAAAATGTAGGGATGCTACATCACAAGGAGTAGCCAACAACCTGAGTGGAGCATATGAAATGAGAAAGGGAACAAGGCTTCCAACCTCAGTCCTCAAGACTACAAGTGTTAACCTATGTTGATAAGAACCTCAGGTCTACCTGAATACTAACTGGAAGGACCATCTCCTTGAGCCAACATTAGCTGCGTGGCTGTGGTTCCAACCCTGGTCACTGAAGCAGTGTGGACTTCTAAAGCAGCAACTTGGGACAAGCACCCTGGATATAGCTTGAGCAGTGATCACCACTTTTGAAGGTCCCCAGGATACTGAGGATTGCAATTTGTGGATCTAAGGTCCATTATCTTGCACAAGCCTGCACAGCCACAAGCCTGGGCCGTGGGGATTCTCAGGTGCGAGTTCTCAGCTGCAACTTTCTCTACCTGAGGAGAAACGAGCAACATCTCCCCATCAGGAAGACCGACGGGTATAGGCAATGAAGGTTCAGGTGCAGCTGCCTGAACCAGAGTGAAGCATTTAAATCTCCGATAATAAAAACAGTCTTCCTTCAAGGGACTTCAGAACCTGTCTTGAATCTGCATTCACATATATCTGGTTGTCCAGTAAAAGGGCTACAAGGAGCTGACAGTTTTATTGAAAGTGGTTAACAGACTGAAGCTAATAAATTGCCAGTGCCAATAGCACTTAGCTTTCCCCACTAACGAAGCACTGCTTCCAAGCGCCACTCATTAAGAACCAAGAATGCAGGGGACCATCCCACAGACTTCTGGTCTCCCAGGCCTCCCTGCAGACAGGTCCTCCTCGGGCTCGCACTGTGCCTTCCAAGCCAGGTTCACCTGAGGCCATCAGGTGCATTAGTCAATGGAAGGTTCAGTTCACAGCTCTGCCACTATGTTAGCAAATGGTGTTAGCTCACTTGGGAAAAATGCACCCTTGACTCACTCTGGCTACAAAAACATGCTTCACTGTCATCAGCTTTCTCTCATTACCTGCCACCGTTACAAATTCTCACTTCCCTGCATATTCACTTAAATGGGGTCACCTAGGAAACTGGAGAAACAAACAAAGAGGAGGAGGGAGAGAGCTGTGGGAGGAGGGAGTGCTCATGGCCCTGGTCACGTAGAGAGGTGAGGAACATCTGAGAGGGCAGGTTAAGGCGGCAGCTTCATGCCAGCCAGGTGGTGTCCTCCTCCCCAGGCAAGTGAATCAATCCTGTGTAGGTCACCTGAGAGGTGCCTGGGCAGGGATCAGGAAGCACCAGGAGGTTTATTAGGAACCAACATTTCTGTTAAAAAGTTCTCTGACTTCTAGAAAATAAGCCTAAAATTTTGCCAATGCATGTTGAAGCTTTTTCGACATACCACTACACAATTCATAAATAATGATGCCCACGCCACCTGGTTGCCCAAGTACATGAGGCTCTCCAACACATGCTGGGGGCATCAAAATAGCCATTTAATACCTAGAGATCCCATCTATTAATCCCCAATTCACAGACCTGTCTCCATTGTCCACGCAAAGGCACCCCAAATGCTCATGTCCAAAACAGAACTCACTCTTTCCTCTCCAAACCCACTGTGTCCTCAGCCTTCCAACTTCAGTTAATGGTATTCCTATTCACCTGGTGGCCCAATCCAGAACCACAGAATTCTCAACTCTCTTCCTCAGGCCAATGTCAATTCTGTCCATTCCATCTTCAAAATTGTTCTCCCATCTATTCTCTCCTCTCTATTCCCACTGTCACCACCTTAATTCGGTCTTTAGTGACTCCCCCTGGACTCCCTCCTAACTAGCTTCCCTGCTGCACTTCTTCCTCTTTGATCAACCTTCTATGGTACTACCCACGTGAAGAAGCTAAAGTGTAAATCTGGTCACATTGTGTCCAGCTCTTGAGGGCTGCTGATGGGTGGCCTAAACAACAAAGTCCACAATCTTCGGCCAAGCATGTGAGGTCCTTCCCACCTCTGCAGCCTCATCTCTCACCACACCACCATTCACACCTTAAGCTGGAGGTGCCCCGAACACTAGTGGCAGTTCCCTCAACATGCCCAGCAACTGTGCTTCTGTGCCTTTTGTATTCTAGCCCCTCTGCCTCCTGGAATCAAAGCTCTTCTTAAACACTGCCTCCTTTGAGAAGACTTCCCTAATCCCATCTCAGACACTCAGCAATATCTTGGTGCTCCTACAGCCCTCGGTAACATGCGGTGCCAGTGCCAGCTGCCTGTGCTGTCACCATTGCAGTCATTGCCTTCCCCATGATCTCTTCCAGAGCAGGACTCTTGTCTGCTACTTTCTAGACCCATAACCCCTGCCACAGTGCCCGGCACAGAGAGACCCTCTGCAAACAGCTGACGGGTGTTCAATTAACTGAATCAGTAAACAAATTCCCTTTTAGTCAGTGATTTGCAGGCTCCTCTCTCACTTAAATTTTTATCAAACAGCTAATAAACAGCTTAAGAGATGCATGTGAGTTTCCTTCCCTTTCTCTTTAATAGGACAGGGGTCAAACCTGATATAGACAAGGCAGTGAGCAAAGGAAGAGAAAAAGTACCAGGAAAACCCTCCCAATAAATAGATTACACATTACTCAGCCATCTCCAGAGTGAGTCTGAAGGAACAAGGTAAAACACAGGCTCTTGCATATTTTGCAGTTAAGACACTAAATTAAAGAAAGGGGGTGACGAATTGAAGCCTCTGAGTAAAGCAGGGGTCACAGCTGCCCTCATCTGGATCTCAAAAGGGTTTAAAGAAGAGACTCTCATCCAGGTCCTCCTCGGTCTCAACCAAACGGTTCTGACTTGATACCCATCAAATTCACAGGACATCTGACAGCTCCTCAACCTGATCAACCCAGCCCTTCCATGCAGGAGCCAGGCCAGCAGGCTGAGCCAGCTGGGAACTGGCGGAGCGGGGAGAAGACTGCGAAGATCACGGGTCTCAATTCCAGGTCTAGTCCCGCTGCATCTGATCCTGAGTGTAAGTGGCTTTAAAAACGAAACGTCTTTCCCAGCTGGGAAGTATAAGTTCTGAGGAGTATAAATTCAGCCACAGGCAGGCTCCTGGGAGCTCCGTGTGATGAATTCATGTGGGCTGGGTTCTGTTCAACCAAGGCTGAGATGACGTGAGCCAAGGGATAGATTTCGGCCCTAGTGTTGTGCATCTCTACAACAGTCCTGGTAGCTATACATCCCACAACCGAGAGCCAAAGGAGTCTCCTCTTCTCAAAAGCCTTACCCTCCCTGTGTCCTCACCTGTCTGGGGTGGACAAGTACTTCTGCTTCTGGAATTTCTTCTCCAGGCCCATGAGCTGCAGCTCGGTGAAGATGGTGCGACTCCTGCGGGGCTTCTTCTGCTGGGGCGTGGGCTGCTCCGTCTCTGACTCGCTGCTGCCTAGAGCCTCGCCGCCCGGGGCCTCAGCATAGGCAGCCTCGGCGGCCGGGTGGAGGGACAATGCCTGTGCGACTCCCGGGGTGGCAGGGACCAGGTGGGAGATGACCGTGGGCTGTCGGGTGATCACCGAGAGGAGAGGATATGCCCGAAGGGAAGCGGGGCCTGAAAGACAAACAGGGAGGCAGGTCACACGGGGAGCCAGGGTGGAAGAGGGCCGCGGGCCTCAGAGGACCACTTGCTGAGACCTGTCTGACTGGCAGGGCCTCCTAATCACAGGAAGTATAAACGGAGGAAAGGGAAGAAGAGACAACTCGAGACCTGTAACGGCTGGGTGGGCAAGAAACAGGCAGATTTGCTCAGCCTGGCGTGTGAGAACATTCAAGTCCCCCATGGTCAAAGAGAGGTTCCTGCAATTCCTCTGGTATTAAGTGAATCTTTCCCCTCTCTCTCCCTTTTGAGCCCCTAAATTCTGGTTTCAGAGATATGGGTCAATGGGACTGAGCAGATGAAAAGAAGTAGTCAAAGCTAGAAACACATTCTTAAGAAATCTAAAATAGATTTGTAATATACAAAGTGCCTGAGAACCACCTATGGTCTTTATAAAAATGCACGGTTGTAACTATAAATTCCCCCTGAGAAGTCTATATACCTTGAATCATCAGATTTTTCAGAACTGGAAGGATGCTTAAAGATTATTTAATTCAACTCCCTCATTTCAGAGACAGGGAAACAGTCCCAGAAAGGCTAAGGGACTTGCCTGAGATCACAGACTAGGAACAAGCAGATTGAAGAGTCCAACCAAGTTCTGGCTTGAAGTCCAGGGCTCTTATCACATCATAAGTTACATGAATACGTCATGTAGAAGAGGGGGCAAAAAGATTTTAATTCACATGAAAACTCAGATCCATTATGACTAGCTGCCTCCAGCACTGTGTTAAGGAGGATGCTCAGGCTGGGTCAGAGCTTGGCTGAGGAAAGAGAGCTGAGGTTGATTAATGATGTCTGCCATGGGCATGCATAGGGGAAGGGGGTATGGTGGCATACACACTAGTTATGTGCCACTCATGCTTGAAGAATTTCAAGGCAACAGTACTTTTCTGTCCAAGGATCTGTTATGTCTTTAAACTTCAAGTAAAAGAGCTCTTCCCTTTCATTATTCAATAGTATCGGGTTTAAAATGTCATGATCATTATCTCTGAAATCATTTTATCTCTCTGGGTCTCAGTTTTGTCATTCATACAGTGAGTAAAAGTAGGTAATTTTGAAGAATCCTTCAAACTCTAATATACTGACTCCACAAAAGTACCTCTCATCCCAAGCCCATCTTGATATCGGATGAAAACAGAGAAGACTCAGGGGGTGCCCTCTGGGGCTCAGCCGAACCCTGACAACTCACTACAAGGGCGGGGCGGGCATCTGAGCAAAATAACACTCACAGTGGTTCTGGGTTAGAACCAGCCAACATCAGAGAAGCCCCAGGTGCTATTTGTGTTCTAGTTCTCTCCTCTGGGTCGGTGTTTCTCCTCTTATTCAGTCCCATGCTTCTGTTTTCGACCCCAGTCATAGTTATTAATTAAAACAGGTAACTTCTCTTGTTCTTTGACTATACGTCTGGAAAGGCCTAGTAGAAACCACAAAGTTGTTAAGTAATAAATCTTAGGTCTATGACTTCTATGAACTCTCCAGCCAACACTAACGCTTGACGTTTTGTGTTGTGGATTCTTTTTACAAAAAAAAAAAAAGGATCTGGGAATGATAGTTTATAGCAAGAAAGTTAGGATACATGGGTCAGTGGTTTGGGCTCTCCCAGCAGACACTATGAAATGCTACTTCTTGAACAAAGTAACTGAAAGCTTCTTATACAGGCAGAAGATGTTTCTCATCTCAAATCACTTTACTCCTTTAATTCTGCCATTTCTTTCAAAAGGAAATCTCTTTCTTTGTTAGGCAGGCTAATTTATAATCTAGAAACCAAGGAGCTTATCAATATAGGAAGTGGCTAGTTACCTGCCTGTAAGTATGGCTTTTAATCACCAGAGTTCAAGCTTTCTCTTTTGTAAAAGAGTTAAATATTTTTTTGCCTAACAATGAAAAATATTTTAGAAGTGTGGTAATATCTAGTGTTGGCAAGGACATGAGGAAATGGACACTCACATATTATTGGTGAGAGTGTAAAACAGTATAATCTTTTAGGACAAACTAAACTATCAAATTATTGACCAGGCAATTCACAATTTGAGACCTAGTTGCCTATGTGCAAAGATTTATGTGCAAGCATACTCACTGCAGCCTTGTTTATAACAGTAAAAGAGGGGAAATAACCCACATATCTATCAACAGGAAAACGGTGAAATACATTGTGGTTCAACTATGGACTACAACTGTGAGAAAGAACTCACTACATAAACTGATAGATAGATAACCTACATATAAATTAACATGAGAAAATATCTAAAATACATTATTGAGAGAAAATTACGGTATAGAACAATTTGCATTATCATTATCAAAAAAAATCTGTATGTGTGTCTCCATTTATAAATGCATTTTTAAAAGAAGTCCAGAAAGTTAGTCACCAAGCTGTTAACAGTGATTCTCTCTGGAAGAGTGGGAGTGAAATAGACTGAAAAAGAATCTCCTTGTATTAATCTAATCTTGTATTCAATCCCGCCATAAATGTTTATTGAGCATCTACTATGGGCTGTGCTTTCTTCTAGAAGCTGGAATATAAGAGTGAATGATATAAAGTTCCACCTTCACGGAGCTTACATTTCAGTCGGGGAGGTAGACTGCAAACAAGAAACAAATAAATACATAATGCCAGGTAGTGATAAATTCTATGAAGAAAAATACAGCAGATTGTGAAGATGGGGCAGGTAAGGAGGAGGGCTGGTAGTTGAGACAGGGGAGTTAAGGGAAGGCCTCCATGGAAAAGGTGACATTTCAGCAGGGAAGTGACTCAATGGACAGGAGAGCCTTGAGAGGATACAGGGGAGAGCACCCCAGGCAGAGAACCAGCTCATGCAAAGCCCTAAAGTGGGAATGAGCTTGTGTTCAAAGAATTGCAAAAAAGCAGGGTGAGCAAGAGGGGCAGAAATCTGCTGCAGTCAGATCATATAGGGTCTTGTAAGCCTGAGCAAATAATTTTGATTTTATTCAGAATGTGATAAAACCATTGACAAGATGTGAGCTGGGGAAGGACAGGATCTGATTTATGTCTTTAAGATCCCTATGGTTACCATGTGGAGGACGGACTATAGGGGTACGTGTGGAAGCAGAGAAATAAGTTAGGTGGCAAGGCAATATTCTAGACCAGAGGCGACCACAGCATGGGGCGGAGACGCAGCAGCTGCCGTAGTGAGAGGTGGTCAGGTTCAGGGTGGACTTTACACTTAGGGTTCAAAGAATTTGTTGAAGGACTGAATGTTGGGTCTGAGAGAAACAGAGTTGCCATGTGATGTCTGGGTTTTGGGTCTCAGCAATTAGAGGAAGGACAGTGTCATTTACTAAGATGGGAAAGACCGGGCAAAGAGCAAGATTAGGTGGGAAAACCAAGATTTCTGTTCTAGACAAGTTGCTATTAGACATGGTGGATGTGTTGAGGAGGCATTGGATACACCAGTCTGGAGTTCAGAGAGGAGGCTAGATTGGAGACACAAGCTTGACTCACAGAAGTACATGTGGCATTTAGAGCCATAGGATTGCATGAGGTCACCCAGAGAGTGAGTAGAATAAGGTAATAAAAAGATCCAAGGACTGAGCCCTGGGGCATGCCAACACCTATGGTCATAAAGAGGAGGGGAAGCCAAAGGGACCGAGAAGAGGGGACTGGGAAGTGGAGGAAACTGCTATCCCACGGTAGCCCAACACCTAGACGAAACTTCCATGGTATTTACATTTTACTACAAGTATGTATCATTTTTGTAATTTAAAAAAGTAAGAGTGGGACTAAATAAGCTTTAAGGTTTTGTTCTCATTCTAAAGTTTTAATATATGTTCAATTTTTTAAAAAAGAATTATGATTTATTGACGCTCAAACCCAGGAATAGTTAAAACTTCTTCTTCTAAAAAAACTAGGCAAAGAAAACCAACCTAGAAATCCCAGCAATGCAGTATAAAAAATGTTTGGTTTTATGACGCTGCTAGTAAAGCAGACATTGTGGGTGTTTTCCTGAGCAGAGGGAACTCTCTCTCTTTCTCAGTCACCTCTGAACCAAAGGGTCTAAGGAATTTTCTCCCTTTATGATAGAAAATGTTTGAGTTCTCGTGCTAGATAGAATCATATTCTTTCTTTTAAAATAAAAACTGTTTAATATAGAGAAATGGTAGTCTTTTTAATGAGTGGTGCTTGAACAACTAGATATCCATATGCCAAAAAAAAAAAAAAAAAGAACTTGACCTATGCCTCATAAATTTATTTAAAAAAATCAACTCAAAATGGATCATATATCCAAATGTAAACACAACCTATGAATTTTTAGAAGAAAACATAGGAGAAAATCTTTGTGACATTGGGTTAGGCAGAGAATTCTTAGCTATGACACCAAAAGCATGATGCATAAAAGGAAAAGGTGAAAAACTGGTCTTCATCAAAATTAACAACTTTTGCTCTGCAAAAGATACTACTAAGAAAATGAAAAGATAAGCTAAAGTCTGGAAGAAAATATTTGCAAATCACACACCTGACAAATGATTTGTATCCAGAATATATAAAGAACTCACAACATTCAACAATTAAAAAATAACTCAATAAAAAAATGAGTAAAAGTTCTGAACAGACACTTCACCAAAAAAGATATCATATGAAAAGATGCTTAACATGATTAGTCATTAGAGAAATGCAAATTAAAACTACAATGAGATACACCACTACCCATCTGTTAGAATGGTCTAAAATTTTTTATAAGCTGACAATACTGAGTGTTGACAAGGATGCAGAGCAAGTGGAACTCTCATACATTTCCAGTGGGAATGCAAAAGGGTATAGCCTCTTTGGAAAACAGTTTGGCAGTTTCTTATCAAGTTAAATATACAGTTACCATATAATCCAGCAATCCCCCTCCTAGGTATTAATCCAAGTGAAAAGAAAACACAAAAACCTATATGCAGATGTTTATAGTGGTGTTATTAGTAATTATCAAAAACTGGAAACAATCCAAATA